GTGCCCCTCCAGCGCCGTTCTGGTCCCTGGTTCCCGGTCCCCAGCCCCCGCCGAGCCCGCTAGGGCTCTGTGCTGGCCTAGAAAACATACTGAGTGACACCCCCCACCCCACCTGTAGATACCCCTTCTCATCCACCTCAAAACCCGACCCTCAACAACCTCGTCCATATACCCGACCTTCTGCGTCACCAACTCTCGAGGAGGTTGGAGGTCTAGAAAGACCTGCACTCCTAGGGCTAGCAAGATGAAGTCAGGAGACTTGGTGAATTCCAGTGCTCTGGACTTTGGAGATGCACACACCCCACCCTGGGCTATGGCCTACCACTATGGAACAGGGCTTCACATAGAAGTGAAGGGCGCCCCAGATCTCCCCAGGGAGCCCACCCTGCCTCCCCAACCCTGGGTCGGCACTAAGCCACTGAACTTAGGAAGCCTACATGGTAGTCCCCCCAGGTGAGTGTCAGGGATAGCACCTGGGAGCAGTTGCCCAGCTGGGGTCTCTTGCCTGCAGAGACATAGGTGTGTCCCTGAATGGTTACTGACCACTTCTTGGTCTCAGGATCATCAATGCAGAAAAATCCGAATTCAATGAGGATCAAGCTGCCTGTGGGAAGCTGTGCATCCGGAGATATGAGTTTGGGGCTGAAGAGGACCAAGAGTGGCTAACCCTGTGCACAGAGGAGGTGAGTGTAGCTCAGCCCCAACCTTCTCACAGGCCAAACCCATGACATGTAGACTGAAGTTTATTTTCCTTGCTGCCCCGTGTCCTAGTTCAGGCTGGGCCTGGAGAAGCCAGGCAGAACCTGACACAGAGCCCTTCTGGTATAGTTCCTTACAGGTCATTACTGGGCACTGTTTGATGGGCATGGCGGTCCTGCAGCGGCCATCCTGGCTGCCAACACCTTGCACTCCTGCCTGCGCCGGCAGCTGGAAGCTGTGGTAGAAGGCATAGTGACCACTCAGCCCCCCATGCACCTCAGTGGCCACTGTGTCTGCCTCAGCGATCCCCAGTTTGTGGAGGAAAAGGGCATCAAGACAAAAGACTTGGTGATTGGGGCCTTGGAATGTGCCTTCCAGGAATGTGTGAGTGTGACCTTTGGGAAGGAAGGGAAGGTTTTGGCCCCAGAGACCTGAGGGGATGGGGCATTCCTACAACTATAGTCACCCCAGATCATTGGATTGGGGATACAGTTTGGGTTTGTTTGCTACTGCCTCATTGCTAACCCCACCCACATACCCAGTGCCTGTTATGTTCTAAGTGCTCCTAATCTGCATCTCTTATTGCACACACTTGGATTTTAGTGCAGGAGCTGATTTCCTGTCCTGTTTTTAGTAGCACTTCCCTTGTCTAGGTCTCCTGACACAGGTTTGGGAGTTAGGACTAGACTTTGGGCTGGGATTACAGGCCTGCTGGTTGGAAGTAAACTGTAAGGTGGAAGTCTACTGTAGGGTGGTATGTATGGTGGCAGAACTGGCAGCAGTTAAGACTAAACAGCCTTGGTTTGTTCCAGGATGAGGTGATCGGGCGGGAGCTGGAGGCCTCGTGCCAGGTGGGTGGCTGCACAGCTCTGGTGGCTGTGTTCTTGCAGGGAAAGCTGTACGTGGCCAATGCTGGAGACAGCAGGTGAGTGAACCTTTGAGGGTGGGCAGAATGCCAAAAGCTGTGGGTATAGTGAAAGGTGGCTGGAAGTGGACAGTTAGAAACAGATTGGCTGAGCTGTTTGTATTATATTTGTACTTGGCATATGTTGAATATGAGGACAAGAGAGTGAATGCCAGGAAGGGCAGGGGTCTCAAGTGCCAAGCCAAAGACCTGAGCCTTCACCCTGAAGGTCCTAACGATTCAGGGGGCTTTGAGCAAGGAATCAGCATGGCCAGAGTTGGCTTCTGGTGGCTGGAGGGCTGGCAGGAAGGAGGAGATAGTTTCACCCCTTCTTCCACTCCTCAACCCCAACCAGGGCTCTTTTGGTAAGGAGAGATGAAATAAGACCACTGAGCTCTGAGTTCACCCCAGAGACTGAGCGGCAGCGGATCCAGCAGCTGGTAGGTACCCTTGGCAGGGGAGACTGGCGCCCCAACTCCTGGGTCCAGGGCCACAAGGAGCCAAAGAAGGGAACCTGACCTAAGCACAGCCTCCCCACCCCAGGCCTTTGTCTACCCAGAGCTTCTGGCTGGTGAGTTCACCCGACTGGAGTTCCCTCGGCGATTGAAGGGGGATGACTTGGGTCAGAAGGTTTTGTTCAGGGATCATTACATGAATGGCTGGTGAGCAGGGTGGGGTGGGGGTACATGGTGGGAAGGGAGAAGCTTGGGGCAGTCCCCTTCCATCTGGGCAGAGTGGGCACTGTGAGGGCATGACAGCTGGGCCATAGGCAGAGATGAGGTGGGGTATAGACCTTGGGTGATGCTTGGTCTTTTCCTGGTAGGAGCTACAAATGTGTGGAGAAATCAGATCTCAAATACCCACTGATTCACGGACAGGGTAGGCAGGTCAGTGTCTGGCTCCCCTCCAAGAACCCTTCTTTAGTTGTTACCCAAAGGTGGGAGCTCGTTTTTTGTTTTTTGTTTTTCCCAGAACTGGGATCAAACTCAGGACCTTATGCTTACCAGGCAGGCACTGGCGCCACTAAGCTAAATCTTCAGCCTTCTTTTTTTTTCTTACTGGTGGCTGCAGCTAATCTCTTGGGGTCTGCCCCCTTATGTTTCTCCCTCAGCCCAGGGCTTCTGAGGGGTTATGGACTATGTTTCCTTTGTGCTCAGCAGTGCCATAGCTTAGCACTTGGGCATTTACTACAGCTGTTCATCATCATCTCACACTTTCCTTGGCCCTAGGCTCGGTTACTGGGAACACTGGCCGTCTCCCGGGGCCTAGGAGACCATCAGCTCAGAGTCCTGGACACCAACATCCAGCTCAAGCCATTCTTGCTCTCTGTCCCAGAGGTGAGGGGGGCAAGGTAGTCCACCTCAGCTTCCATCTGCGCGGAAAGAGAATGAGCTTGGTGGGAGCCAGGCAGGGAGTGCTGAAGGATCCTTGGGCTTAACTTGCAGGTGACTGTGCTGGATATGGATCAGTTAGAGCTTCAGGAGGATGATGTGGTTGTCATGGCAACAGATGGGCTCTGGGATGTCCTGTCCAACGAGCAGGTGGCATGGCTGGTGCGGAGCTTCCTCCCCGGGAATCGAGATGACCCACACAGGTACTGTAGTTTCTGGGGACTTACCTAGGCCTTTGTTGGTGCCAGCAGCAACATCAGGTAGTCATAGTTGAGAAGACAGCACTGTCAATGAGCCCAACTCAGGCTAGACAGCCAGGATGAGAGCTGTCTCATGGGACAGGGGAGAGAGTGTGATGTAGATCCCTCCCAATGATCTTTGGTTTAATTCCTGTGGTCCAGTTGTGGCCCTACCAGACTTATTGCTTGCTTGGCTTACAGTTGGACACTTTTTGGGTCTCCCTTGTCCATTTCTATGCACTGAATGCTCTTGGAGGGCTGACCTTGCCATTTGCTTAGCCCCAGACTACAGCTACAGAATAATCTTCACAGGTTCTTGGAGTTGGCCCAAATGCTGATACGAAGCACACAGGGGAAAGAGGATGGTCCCACGGTGCAAGGGCAGGTGTCCTACGATGATGTCTCTGTGTTTGTGATTCCCTTGCACAGCCAGGGCCAAGGGGGCAGTGGCCCTTGAGGATTCACACATTACAACTCAGGGCCACTCCAGGGCTGGTACAGTCTGGGCATCTTATCTCTCCTCTGTGGCCAAGATCAGGCCCTGCTGCCCCATCCCCAGCCACAGCTCAGTGTTCTTGTCTTCTCCCACTCACCCAATTCAAGGGGAACATCTGTACCAGGCAGCCAGAGCTGAAAGGGTGTTAAGAGCCCAGCCCCCCAGGTCCTGCCTTTTACCTCAACACCCCTCTGGCAGAGGTACTTTGCAACTTAGGAAACTCTTACAAGGCTTCTCAGACAGGATCCTCAGTAACCCCAAATAGGTGTCCCTATTCTCAGATAGGGACACCTGGGTTAAAGGTATCGGCCAAAGATGCCAGGAGGGATGGGCAGCCTATCTGGATCCAGGGTTCTGATCTATGAATGTCAGGGCATCCATTGAACACCCCCCCAACCCCCACCCCCACCCGTGCAGAGTTCCTTGTGAAATGACTGTATTCATGACGGTTCCTGAGATCAGCTCAGGCCCTGCCCTGCTGTTCTTCACCACTGGAGGGCACAGGCTCTGGAGCCAAAGCTAGGACACAGCAAAAAGGGGCAAGATGTCCCCGAGTTGGCTAGGTGGGCAGGCGCCCAGGTTGTCCCAGGTTGGCTAGGTGCCTGGCCTCCTAGTTGATTGCTTCAGCCCTGCCCTAGTTTCATGCCCCAATGCCTTTGCTTTGTTGCCCTGTACCACATCTTTATTATTAAATGTTTATATGCAGAAAAGCCCTTGTGGATTGTGAATTGCTTGTATGATACGGATCATGGACACCTTCTGATGTTACCTTCCATTGGATTTGTTTTAGCTCCACCTTGCAAGCTTGCGTATAATTAAGACCCCAGGTTTTACCACACTGTATCTTCCCTAGTTCTCAGCTTGCCTTCCTTCCCTTGTTGCCAGGGAACTGAAGAGACTTTTACCACCAGCTGTGAGCTCTGGGCTTGAGGTACCAGAATGGCTGGCTTTTCACTTGCTTTTAAAGGCCAATTTGTATAAAGCTACTAGATTTGGCTGGAGGCAAGTTGGTTAGGGCCTTACAGGTTGCTGTTTGATGAGTAGCTTAATTCATCTTCCCCACAAGACTTATCATCTAAAACTTATAAGCTTGGGTGCTCAGGAAGTATTTGTTGAATTACAAGACAAGCCATCTTCAGGACCTAGCTTTACCTCTTTTTTGATTTACTCCTAGTTTTGTAACAGAGGTGACTCTTATCATTTAGCTCAACCCTAGGTTGCAGCCAGGAAGATCCAAGAGTTGATGTAAAACCTGTTTATCTGAGAGGCTCTCAGACTCTCTTTGCTGCCCATATTAATTCATTTTTGGTTTCAATGTCCAGGGCAGATAGGAAAGACTAATTGCAACATCAGATTATTTCTCATCCTCACAAAGTTGTATTCTAGAGCCCAGGACTTCCTGGAGTGAACCTATCTGTCCTCAACTGGGGCCTGACAAACTGGCTGGACTATGAAGCACTTGCAGTCTCTCACAGGACTCCTGCCTGCTGTCAGGCAGCCAGTAAATGCTGGAGTGCAAGCATAGGAGCCTGCAGGAGTATGACTTCCTCTTCCCTCAGCACAGCCTTCCCCCACCTCCCTGAGCAGTGGACAACATCCTGTCCTTGCTTCAACCACATCAACTGCTGAGCCAGCTTGCCCCCACAGCCTGTTGGCCCTGCTTCTAACCCAGCTTTCTGCCTGTTCCTGGTCTTTCTCCCCACACAAGGCTAAAACACAGGAGGTAGGTACTGTAGTTCTCCCACTGCAGGTAGGCCAAAAAGAGAAGTGGCTGCTCCAATGGCGGCTATATAGATCTACATGCTCATGTCTTCTATGAACAAAAGCTAAAGGCTACAACAGCCTTTGCTGAGGGAGTCTTCCTTCTTGGTACAGTAGTTGGAGCCAGGAGAGCCTATGCATGGCCAACCTCTCCTAAGCCAGGATACCTCCTCTACCACCTGTCAAAGAACCTATGCAACCTCCAAAGTGGCAGACTTGGCTAATGGCAGCAGGCCCAAGATTTTTTTCTTTTAAACACAAACACTTTTTTTTTTGAGATGGGGGTCTTGCAATATAGCCCAGATTGTCTTTGAACTTGTCCTGCCTCAGCCTCCCAAGTATTGGGATTATAGGCATGTGTGACTATATGAGGCTGAGCCCAAGATTTTCATCTTCTTTGGTTCAGAGCCAGGCAAGAACCAGGAAGGAGGTGTAGGTCCTTGCAGCTCTGAGGATGCTGAGCTAGATTTACTCTAGGATCTAGGAATTAGCAGCTCACCAGCCAGATGGGTTACCAAGCAACTGCCTAGGCTTTCTGCCAGACCTGGTACAGGAGACCTGGAGGCTTCAGCAGCCCTTGCTCTCCAGAAGCCAGAACCTAACAGGATAACTCAATGCAATGAAGATGCCAAACTGATCAAGAGTTCAGGTAAACAGTGGGGTATGTAAGGTAGACTGAGATTTGTGCCAGATAAGTCTTTGAAAATCAAGACTGACTGAAGCTTGCCTTTTACCATTCATTTCTGGCTGTATGGATGCTTACTGGAGCCTGAGGTTGAGGTCTGAGGCCCATAGGTCCTAGATAGCAGGGTAGCCCAGCAATCTATTCGCACAGCATTACAGGGGCCCCATGTGAGCCAGAACAGTGCAGCCCATTCCTCCCTTCTGGAAACCAGACAAACAATGCTATAGAAACTCAATGGAAGAAGCTGAAGCCAGAAAATTCTGTTTAAGACTGGTAACATGGAAAAAATGTTTATGTTAAGTACAAAAGGGACATAAAATCGTATGTACAGTAGAATAACAACTATGTAAACACACCAAAAAATCTATGCACAGAAATGTCTAGAGGAACATTTAACACCAAAAGATTAACAGTGCTATGTAGCATTTGGGTAGCAAACTGATTGTTTAAAATTGCTATTCTTTAATAAGCAATAATTATGATTGCAATAGGGGATATTTAAAAAATATCCCACTAGCTGGTGGTTTAGCATTGTAGTATCACTGTCACATATAAAGCAGTGGCTTTGGCCTTGAGTCTTCAGAAGGTGGTGAGCAGCCCCTCCCCAATGAGAAGAACATTAAGCACCTCTGGCTGCTACTGATACATCCCTGCAGCACAGGCTCAGCCTGAATTCTCCCTTTCTCTTAACTCCATCACCCCATTGCCTCAGATGATTTGCAGCTGCATCTTTTCCCTTCTCTCAGCAACTCTGGGCCCAGAAGTAGAGGCTGTGAGGTGTCATATTTTCAAAGGACATGGTGTCTCACCTTTGAACACAGGAACTCAAATACAAATTATTCCTGCTTCTGGGCAAGTTATTCTGTAGTTAAAAGATATGTAAGTTATGCAGTCTTTTTTGTTAACCCACAGTTTCAAGCCCTCTCTCTGAAGTTAGTCTTAATATAAATTTTCTACCTTGAAAAGCAGGAGTGGTCAGTAATAGCTCAGATCATTTAGTTCCTAAAGTCCCCATACACTGGGAAAGGAGAACTAGAGGGGTAGCATGGTGGCAGCTGCAGATTTTTGTCTACTTTTGAGAAGGGCGTATACTCTTGCTCTTTCAGTTTAAGTAACAAGCCAGAAAGTAATTGCTTTAAACAAAAAGTGCTAATAGTGATTCATAGCTTTTGCCTGCTACTGAACAGAGGCAGCGATGGCATGATTTACCCTTAGCAGCTATAAACCCTTGGGAAAGTCGTAACCTTGGGCTGATTTCTGGATCTGCAGGGGGTGTTGCCTATATAAATGTTTGGATGGGAGTTTAATAAGATGCCACTTCCTCTGCTCTGAGATACCCATGCAGGGGAAGAAAAGGCAATGGCCTATCTGTAGTTCATCGTTGATCAACCTGGGCCTAGTTCAAGCCCCTCCTTAAGAGGAAGCAAGAAAGTAGACATAACAGGTAAGTGGGAGTGATCTGTAATTGGCAAAGTAGCCTCAGACAAACTGAAAATACTTAGGGTTCCAGCATCCTGTCCCCAAATGCTGCAAGCCAGGCACAGAAGTCATGCAAAAATGACTGTCACACATATGTAAGCGCAGAGCATCACCAGGCAAAAAAGAGTAATACTGTAGAGAGGGCTCTAAAATGTGGCTTGAACACAAGTCATCCCAAGACCCTCACTTAGCTGCCATGGAAACAGCAAACACTAGAACTTTTGTTTCATTTAGTCCTCCAAAGGGAAAAAAGTATCAGGGAAGACTAACACTTGTGGCAAATACTTACTAGCAAGGATGCAGTCTTTCTCCTGGGCTGCAGAATTCTTATCTCCTTAGGCTGAACTTTGAGAAACTACAGACAAGATAGATATGCATATACAGGTATATGCATATATGTATACACAAATATATTTAAATGGAGGTGCACACACTGTGCTAAAGTACAAACAAATCAAAGGTCATATATAAAAAGGCTAAATATAACATATAACACAGGCCTAGAACCAGCTCTTGGGTGGAAGCTGGGGAGAGGGTATGAGGAGTGTCATTTGGAGACTATGTACACAATTTGTGATGGGCAGAGAAGAAAGGCATCAGTGTAAACTCACTCACTCCACAATACTGGCCCACAGGAAAGTGTGATGCATGTCAAGTACAAAAATAGACCCCTACCTTACTTTTGTACAAACCAAGCTTGGTAGGCACCCAGGATGACTGTGGATTTGTCTTAATGGGGTGGGGGGGGGACTACACCAGACTGCTGGTAAACCTTCCAACTCCAGGAACTCAACTCCCTTCCCTCCCTTTTAGGCTCTTTGGCCTTTTCCTACACAACACAAGAGCCTGAGGCCTGCCCAGAGCACTCATCCTCATAGGGCTAAATGCATGGCTTCCTGACAAGCAAGGTCTTACAGTATCTGTCTCTTTCCTCTGACCCCAAGGTATATGAAGACTTAACTTCTGTAAATGTTTTGGCACCTAAGAAACATGATGACTGTGGAATAATGCCACAAGTACACAGGGAGACCCAGTAACAAGACATGCAGGAGTGGGCAAGGGGAAATGAGTTTCCCTAGCATCTCAAAACCAAACTTCGGCTTCCCATGCATTTACAGGGGTGGGAGAAAGGATGTGCAGAACCGACAACTTCACTGGCTCCTCAGCAGCAAATACATTCAAACTTGAAGGCGCCTTGAGCGTTCCACTATAACCTAATTGCAAGTCTGGTCACTCCTCTGGAGGAGCTTGATGGGGTGGCAGCTGTGAAGGCCAAGTCCCAAATGAATCTGTGGCACCACAGTCCTGAAGAAGCTCAGAAAAGTGATTTTCTTTTGAGATGTACAGCACATCCAGGGGAAGGCCATGTGAAAGGATGTTCTCCAGCCCAGTCAAACCAGTCAATCATTTATCTCAGTCCCCTCTGAGTTTTTCTTGCTGGCCACCCTCACTATTCAGAATTAGCCAAACAGCATCAGAGTCAGTCATCAATGGTGGGCAACCAGAAGGCCTGGAAGGAAAACATAAGTAGACTTTAAAAATCCAAGCATCTTCTCAGTATGGAGAGTTCTTCATACCCGACCCTGTAGCACTGAGGTGTCCAACCCCAGCTTTGGAGAAGTTATGGACAGGCGGCCCTCTCTCTGACCAACCCTGGCAGGCCACCCCCCGCCCTGAAAGCACGCTGGTTCTGTTTGCCTTTAGCATTCACTGTCTACTGTGTACCACAGTGGTCCAGTGTTTTAAGGAAAAGAGTCCTTTTGGGTTTAGGTAATCTGGCATCACTACTCATCACCAGGTAACCTCCAATGGGTGCTCTCCTGCCTGAGCTGAAAACAAAACAAAAAACCAAAAGGGATTGGATAGTTTTGCTGTACTTTTTTTTTTTTTTTAGACATCATTTTGATGTTAAAAAGTGGGGGGAGGGAGAGCTGTCTGAGGATGTAGTTCAGTAATATAGTCCTTGTCTACCAAGCCTGAAGACTCTGGGTTTCACATACCCAGCACTATGAAAACAAACAAATTAATCCATGAAAATATAATTTAAAAATAGAAAGGGCTGGAGGTGTAGCTCAGTGGTGAAGTCCCTGGTTTCAACCACAAGCATGGGGTAGGCAAGTGAGGACAGGGAAGGCAATGTGCTCTGAGTAAGGCATTAATAAAATGCTCATTCCCAAATACCCACATAGATTTAGAAGATCCCCAAGAGGAAACCAGAGGCTGAGACTCACTGATCTTTCATTCTGCTAGTATTATCTAGGAAGAGACACGGATATGGAGTTAATTTTAAGTAGTGAGTCATTATCCAACTATAAGATTTCTTAGGAATTCAATATAAACCAAGAAGAATGGAAAACTGAAAGGATGCAGTCACAAAAGACGGGTTCAGAATATTTTAAGGAGCAAAATAGCTGTCAAGCACAGTTTAGATAGTACGGCCTAAAACCAAAGCAAAAACTGGCTTGCAATCTCTTGGAAGCTCAGTAATGATCCCAGATCTTGAGCAGAATAATGAAACCAGAGATCACATGATGGAAAGAGAACTGGGAAACCACAGTTGAGAAACATGAAATTGGGTACTTATGCCTATGCAGAATAGCTTGTTGTGCTCACTGGGGTACACCCCACTCCCACTGGAGAGCCCCTATGTGGAAGATACCTCTCATTGTTCACATACCATGTTGGAACATGCGCTGGCAAATGTCATGAACTTGGGGTTGAACTGCAAACAGGTAATGGGGCCTGTGTGTTTACCATCCAACACAGCTACTTTTATACCGCTCTCGCCATTCCAAACATGGATCTTGCCATCTTCTGAACCTAAATAGAATGATGAAAGAAAATATAGTAACTCAAAATAAAATACAAAGACAACTGAGAAAGAAACATGAATTGAAATCAGGAAATATGCCAAGCTTCAGGACCTAATCCTCAGCAGAAATTAAAAGGGAGACAGTCCCTGGTTATTTATGGACAAGGCATTTGTTCTCTAACTTTATTTTTCTTATCCAAAAGAGGGGCTGAATACAATTAGTCTACCAACATTTAGTCACTAAGACAAGTGAATGCAGGGCTATACCAGGAAGTTAGCAATACTATAAGGCAGTACTTTCAGAGCTTAACACTAATGCTGGCTCAGGGAAGACCAATCAATACAGATGCAAGTTCCAGTAAAGGCAGGAGAGTTCAAAACTGTTACAAGCTAGGCATGGTGATGTGTACCTATACTCCCAGCACTCTGGGAGGCTGAGGCAGGAGATCACAAGTTCAAGCCCAGTCTGGGCAACTCAGCAAGACACTATTTCAAAGGAAACAAATAAAAAGGGGCTAGGGATGCAGCTCAGTGTGAAGGTCCAGGGTTTAATTCCCAATACTACAAAACCAAGCAGCACAAAATAAAACTGTATCTAGCTGGGTGTGGTGGCACACACTTATAATCCCAGCACTAGGGAGGCTAAGGAAGACCACAAATTTGGGCCCAGCCTGGGCAACTAATTTGGCAAGACTCCATCTCAAAATAAAAATGGCTGAAGTTGTAACTCAATACAAAGGTAGTACAGGTAAAACAATGGGAGCTGAGGAAATCACTCCCCACTCCTTAGCCACTTGAGCTTGGGCAGCACCCTACAGACATTCTGTATAATCCAGATCAAAGAACATGCTATCCTTTTTTCTTCTCTTGCTTGAGCCTGAAAACCTCATCTGTCTGCATTGTGTGCCAGTGTTTTCTGTTATTTTGACACCACTTAGTTGTCTGTGACCTTCAATAAACGTAGTTGGTTTTAACCACTGGGTGTACACGTTGCAATTCTTGGCTTGCTGTATATAAGAGCCTGGAATCTGTCAGATCCACCACATAGTAACATTTGGTAAGCCAGCCAGGAGATATCTGAGACATCAGCAGACCTCACCAGACACTAGCAACCAAGAAGCCCAGCCACAAAGGAAGGTAACTCCTCTCTTGAGGAAACTGTTTCTCTTCTTTTTACAAGTGACTAAGAATGCTTGTTGGATACATGAGACAGATTCCTAAGACGAATGGCTGTTTGGAGATGACCAGGCAGCAGAGTGAAAGGCTTTGGCCTTTGCAGGGACCAAAAGAGCTTCCACACATTGGGTGGGTCTGTGTTTGTGTGAACCCCCTTTTACTGTTGGTCCTTGCAGCATGGGAAACTCCTTTAAGTAGTCGTGGTTTTTCACACCTTCAGAAAGGTGGCTGAGGCAAGCAGAAGTAAGATAGCTGGTTTATACATGCCCTTGGCCACTGGAGCTGGCCGGGGAGCTGGGATTTAGACGCTTTGCCCTGAACAGAGCCCACTTCCTTGATATTTCACTTGGACTGGGAGACATGGGCTCAGTCTACCTAATGTTACTGCTTTTCATTGGGGTAGTACCATTGGCAGCAGGCCCTGGACAATGTGGATTTAGGAAGCTACTGGGATAGCTTCAGCGATGTTTGTGGGGCCTGGTAAGTCACAGGCTCACGCTGAGCAAGTACTCTTATGAATTACTTTATTACTTTCCTTCCCCGATCCTTTGAGCAAATTCTGGTTCACCTCTTATCCCTTTGCCCCCAGCCTTTATTCTATCGGAGAATTCAAATTATTTGGCTTTTTGTTAATGCAGGGAAACAAAAAATTGGAAATTACAGTGCTTCCTCATGTGGGAAAAAGACAGAAATTTGTGTTCTAACTTGTTACTCTGGAGTTACTTTTCTAATGTTAGTTCTTTCTCTCCATTTTACTCAGTCTTGCTTCTGCGGTCCTAACGGTGGCCTCAAATTTATGTCCTTGTGTAAAAAGATGTGCAACCTGTGTTTGCTGACTGAACTTTCACCCTATCAGGTCACATTCTCGGGCTGAAAGACTGGGAACCACCAGGAGATGCTCTGTAATATAACCACTAATAGATCAGGGATTAACCCAGGGGTAGGCCTGTTAGGTTTCCCACAGTGGTCTGAGACTGACCTAGAGAGGGGCCTGGGCCTGTAAGGTTCTCATGTGGAAAATCGCCCAGGGAAAGTAAAAGGTTTCTATGGTTTGATGGCTCTGGATTCCACTAATGGTTTGGGATTAATCCAGGGACAGGCCTGTGAGGATATCACAACCTAATTTCTCCTTTTATTTATGGACCCATCATGGGAAATGTATCATCTATTCCTTTTTATTCCCCACTCAGATGCCTCCTCACAAACTGGGACCCAAGGTCCTCCAGAAAGACCATCTTATATTCTTACATAATACAAAATATCTATGTCTGTCCACTTGGGGAAACTGAGATGGGCTACCCCTTGGCAACCTAAAAAAATTAATGCTGTATTTAAACTATTTCTTTCATTGTTAAGAAACAGGAAAAACGGGCAGAAGCGATTTATGTTCAAACCTTTTTGGCCCTCTACCAAAGCCCTGATCTTTGCCCTAGAATGAATCCCCCCACCCCCTCCAGGAGCTGATGCTGTTCAGGACTCCCTCTTGTCTGCTCTTCCTCTCCACATTCCACTTCCTCACCAACCTACTTTAGTCAGTACTCTCAGGAGATAAAGCCCAGCCCATAACAGATCTAGCTCTGCCTACACAGGATCCCAGATTCAGGGAACTCAACCTGTCAGCCAGCTACTGCTCTACCCTTTCATAGAGTGATGGGTGCTGATGGTCCCTTTCAGGTATAAGTCCCTTTTTTCAGTTGTGGGTATTCAGCAATGTAAGGAAAAAGAAGACAGATTGTCCGAGGACCCCCCCAAAATTTACTGGTTTCCATACCACAACAACAAGGGCCTTTGATCTGACCTGGCAAGATGTGCAGTTCATCCTGGTTTCTTAACTGCACAGCAGGAGAAAAGAAAAGGATTATAAGAGTTGCTAAGCAGATTAGTGTAGTTTTTTTTTTTCCAGTACTGGGGATTGAACTTGGGACCTTGTGCTTGTGAGGCAGGTGGCAGAACCACTGAGCTAAATCCCTGGCCCAGATTAGTGAAGTTTTTGCAGCTCTGATAATCAGTCAACTGCTCTATTATTTGGATCCCAAGGGGGGCTTGAGTAGCATTATAACACAGTGTGGAGTAGACAAATGAAAGTTATACATCAATATTATTTTAGGGGCAAGGGATGCCCAAACCTGTGAACTATATGATAAGCTCAGGTCTATCAGATGAACCTCTGATGAAAATCCACCTGCTTGCCAGGCATGGTGGCACACACCTATAATCCCAGCACTTGGGTGGGGGCAGAGGTGGGAGAATTGCCACAAGTCTGAGGCCAGCCTGGGCTACACAGTGAGTTCAAGAATGGCCTGAACTACATGGGGAAACTATCACAAACACACACACAGGAAAATCCAGCTGCTTTTAGATCTGGCTTGAGAAACATTCCATAAATACATTAATTTAGACCTGGAATCTAGAAGTGGTCAGATTATCTGAGGATGGTATTTTATTAGTCAGCTCCAGAAACTCCAAAAGGCCCACAATCAGGGTTGTCAATTGATCAATGTAGTTTATTTGGTCTTTTAATAACCATGATGAAGTAGAAGACAAATGAGATTTGAATAAGGAAAAGAGGCAGGCTAAAACCATGCTTACTCTAATGGACAAGGCTCAAGCCCAGAATACTAGGGGAAACTGAGCCAATCTAAAGAGTGATGGAAGCAAGTCAGAGTGCTTCAATTATAAGCAACCAGGGCAGTGGGTAAAGGAATCCCCTCTAAAGCCACCAAACCCTTGCCAATCGTATCAGAGCATGGGAGAAGACCCTTGGCATTGGAAGCCCTCTTCCAATGAAGTCCTCATTCCCAGAGAGGGATGAAGTGGCAGCCTACATGGTCCCACACGAACATATTCCCATCACCTTACAGGAGCCTTAGAAGACTCTATAAGTAGCACTACAAAAAATTATATTTCTCTGATAATGGGGTAAGTTATTCTAGTTTCTTATTTGGGTGAGCTTTCATCCCATTCTAAAGTTGTTGTGGGCTTTGAGGGAGTTAACTGGATAACTTTCTTTAACCCTGTTCTTTAAAAGATTTCCTTTTCCAAGTGCCTCAATGGAGATTAATTAGAGTGCCCCATGCCAATAACTGGAAGACATATACTCTCTCTACTCAAGGCCACACTAACATTCAAATCTCTAGTAACCTGTGTCCCAGCTGCTAGGGACCCAGTTAGCCTGACTCTATGGAGCCCAGTATCTCTGTTGGAAGTTGATCCTCAAAACATGGTATGATGGACCTGGGGAGGACTGTCAAGGCCATTCCAGTAGTCATTCAGCTAAACGGCACCAATCTATGTCTTTACAGAAGACAGTATTACCTTAAGAAAAAAGCTAGGTGGAGGATAAAGCCCATTATTAGTAAGTTTTGGCCACAGGGTTACTGGTGCCTCGCTAGGCCCCATGTAATATGCCATTTTACCAACCATCAAGCTATTGGGAAAATATCACCTAGTATAAGATCTCAGAGCCATCAATGAAGCAGGGCTACTTATTCACCCATTAGTAGCAAACCCATACACCCTTTCAGCACAGATTCCAGTAGACACTGAATGGTTCCCTGCTCTTGATCTCAAAGATACCTTCTCTTCTATTCCAGTGGATCCTAATTCCCAATACTTGTTTGCCTTCAAATGGAAAGGCCCTTACACAACCCTTCTAATCACTCTTTCTGCCATTAAAAGTACAGGGAACAGATAGTTGGATTCACCTTTCCAGAGTAAAATCCAAGCTGCCTGAGACACAAAAAAGTGAAGAGGGATCACAAACTGTGTACATTTGTCAATCAGTTAGTAACTCCAAGTATCCTTTTTTTGGGGTGGGTGGTTTGAGATAGGGTCTCACTATATAGTTCAGGGTATCCTTGAACTCACTATGTAGTTCAGGCTGGCCCCAAACTTGCAGTGATTCTCCTGTCTCAGCCTCCTAAGTGAAGGGAATAAAGGCTCAAGTTTCTTTTCAACCAGCCTATAGAACCAGATAAGTAAACCTACTCTTTGTGGTACACTTGAGGTCCTTGCCCCAAGCTATATGACCTCTTTTAGTTTTTTTGTTTGTTTGTTTGTTTCTTGTGGGATCCTGCTAGATGCTTCAAAAACTGCCTCTAATAAAGATAATGAACAGTGATTTCTTATATAAGACAAAACCTTAAAAGTAATCATATCATTTTCCTATTATTAACAGCTCTCTAAGAACTAGGCAAAAAGACTAGGCCGGTGGTGGCAAACCTATGGCATGTGTGCCACGGTGGACTGTATCATTGAAAGTTCTAAAAGGTTCGTCATCATTGGAACAGAGGAATTTGTCCATGGTATTGCCATTCTTCAAGACCAAACAGATTCACTAGCATGGTGGCCATATGACTTCATAAGGGACTAGATTTCCTAACTGTCAAAACAGAGGGGTTATTTTTGTCTCTAAAAGAAAAGTGTAGTTTTTATGTTAACCAGCCTAAAATAAGAACTGTCTGGCTGCACTTCTAAGATCTGCAAGGAACTACATGAGTCATAGATGTCCTGGCCAAATATCTGGAACTGGGGAACTTGATTGCTATCCTGGACTCAGTGTTTATTAATGCTTCTAGTAATCTTATTATTTAGATCTTATAAACTTAATCTCTTGGTCAAATTTTTCTCTTTGACAGCCATTAAACTACTGGTGATGAATGGCCTAAGCCCAAGATATTAGCCCATTTCCATGTTCACGGCTCATCAAGAAACCCTTAGAAAGGGCCAGGGATTTAGCTCAGTGGTTCTGCTGCCTGCCTTGTAAGTGCAAGGACCCGAGTTTGATCCTGGTATCAAAAAGAGAGAGAGAGAGAGAGAGAGAGAGAGAGAGAGAGAGAGAGAGAGAGAGAG